CCTAGTGGTAAGGAATTATGCTGTCACCCTAAAGGTAAGTTGTTTGAATCAGCCAGCTGACCTGTGGGACAAAGATGGGCAATCTCCTCCTGTGTGATTAACTGCCTTTAAAACCCACAGGAGCTTCTGCTGTTCCTGATGCTGTGTGCTCGTTTGATGTAAACCTGGTAGTTCTTTTGTCAAGTGACAGCTGAGGAAACTTCAGTGCTCATCATGACTGACCGACCGAAAAAACCAAGGAAGAACAATGAAGAAAAAAAAAATTAAAACAAAACATTTTTTTATGTTAAAACAACAAGTCAAGGAAGGAGTCAAGACTGAGAACAACGATCATATTAATTTGAAGGTGGCGGTGCAGGGTGGTTCTGTGGTGCAATTTAAGACTAAGAGGCATACACCACTTCGTAAACTAATGAAAGCCTATTGTGAATGACACAGTTTGTCAGTGCAGCAGATCAGATTTGATTTGACAGGCAGCCAATCAATGAATCAGATACAGATGGAAATGGAGGATGAAGTTACAATTGATGTGTTCCAGCAGCAGACAGGTGGTGTTTTCTAAAAATAAAAGCAGTTCTGCTGTTTTACTCCAGATCTCTGTTCCTACAGATCCAGAATGCCTTCACAATTAGAAAATCACAGTGTGGTTCCAGCACATCTTGACTACTATGGTTTAGTTCTCTCTCCTTGTTCATTTCCCCTTCACTATACTTTTATCGTATATAAAATAACTGGTCCATGTGCATATGCATATTGCAAGTTTGGGTTTTTTATAAACTAAATGGCCAATGGTATATTTTGATCAAAATCAAGTGGAGATGGAATGGAAAATAAAAATACTGATTCTGTAAAAATACCCTCTTGTTCCATAAGTGGCATGCTCATTCAGCTCTAATCTTTATATTCCAATAAGTTATTTCGCTCTCACTGTTTAATAAAAACATTTAAAAAATCCCTACATACCTTGTTTGATTAGAGAATTTTAATGTTTTTCATTTCACGTTATAAAATAAAAAACAATTTTATAACTTTTTTTATGTAGCTGTTACATGTAGGGCAATCCGTAAAGGTAAATTACTCTTAAAAAAAATTAATCTTAGTTAGTTTTCCCTTCAAGTCAAGCATCTTGTTCTTTAAATAAACTTCTTGTTTAAAAGTAAGAAATAACACACCAAAAAACCCAAATGCACTGGAGGGTCAGCTCTAAGTGAGTTCCAACTTAAATGTGTAGAGAGACAATAAGAAGTGAAATTCGCAGGACTCCCTTAGATCTGTCACAGTGCATGGTAGACATAGCTTGTTGTTCTTTTTAGGTGCTATGGGGTCAAGTACCACTCACAGTGACCCTATGAACAGCAGATCTGAACCCTGTCCTATCCTGTGCCATCCTCATCATCTCTGACATGCTCAAACCTTTTGCTGCAGGCACTGTATCAATACTCCTGGTTGAGGATCTTCCTCTCCATCATCCCTCTCACCTTTCCAAGCGTAATGTCCCTCACTCTTCAAGGAACAATCTTGCCTAGCAACATGTTCAAAGTATGAGAGATGAAGATTTATCCTCTTTGCCTCCAAAAAGCACTCTGGCTGCACTTTCTCCAAGACGTATCTGTGTATTCTTTTGGCAGTCCATTCAGTACTCTTCTCCACACCACAGTTCAAAAGCATCAATTATTCTTCTTTAATTCTTCTTCATCACACTGTCCACCTCTGGAAAAAATCAGCTCTTTCAGTGACTTGCTTGCCTTAAAAGGATGTTTCTTTGGCTTTACCCTTCAGTAAAGGAAGGGTAGGGCTGTGTTGGACTGTCAACCAAAAAGTCAGTGGTTTGAATCCACCAGCTGCTCTGTGAGAGAAGACAGGAGACAGCTTCAGAAAGCTAATGGTGGGATGCTGGGAATTGTAACTGACTGGATGGCAATGGGAAGAAGGCACTTCAGATTAGATTCTGTGAATGTTCTGCTCTCAGAGCAATAGAGCATTAGTGTCCTAGTGGAATTTTTATATTTTCTGAACTAAAACCTATTCCTATGTTAAATGTGTCCATTTTTGCTTAGAGCATGTATGAAGTGCCAACAGTATTCTAAGTGTCACTTAGAATATTCAAACCACTGACCTTTCAGTCAGCAGCTAAGCACCGAACCTTTGTGCCTGCAGGGCTCCTATTAGGGGAAAAGCAAGAAACAAATAGACACAGCACTCACCCTCAGTGGAACATCAAGCTTTTCCCTGCCTCTTCTAGAACACTCCTCATTGAACTTTACCTGGCCACCTACCATCTAAACCCATGGTCTTAGTTCACTGGTCTTTTATAATAATAATAAAAAAGAATCTTTAACTGACCTTTCAGTTTAAAATAATTCCCCTTGTTATTTTTCTCAGAGCAACTTAAACTTTTTTCCATGATATTTACCACCATTTTTAAGAAATTAAAAATATGAATTCATACAATGTTCACATCTGAAATACAAACTGTTAAAAGTATCAAGAAAAGAACATTATCTTCTTGTACCCAGCCACTTGATTTCTTAGTTCTCCTTCCTAGAGACAAAGATTATTATCACATATATCTTTCCAGAGATGAACTCAATTCCGTTTATTGCCTGAGTCAGTTCTGATTCATAGCTGACCCTCCACCAGGCTCCCTGGCCTGGAATTCATGCGGTCATGCACTGCTCATTTTTCTCTCATGGAACGGCTAGCAGATTTGAACTGTCAGATAAGCTGAGCCTTTGGGTTAATATTGCAATTCTCTACAGACTGCACCGCCAGAGTTCCTGCTTCCAGGGATAGTCTGTATATTTTTGAGGATATGTAAGTTCTGGGTTTTTTTTTTATTAACTAGCTGTCTCTGCCACTGGACTGAGGGTGGGTACTGTGTCTGTTTCTTCATTGCCTTATTCCTCATAGAGGTCCTGAACACGATGGTTAAGTACTTGGCTGGTAACTGAAGGGTTAGTGATTTGGACACACCAGCCTTTCTATAGGATGAAGATAGAAAAATCTGATTCATAAAGACTATTCATTAAAACAAGTCTACTCCGTTTCACATAATGACCCTCCATTGGGTTTCTCAGGTCATAAATCTTGAAGGAGGTAGGTCATCCATCTTTCTACCTTGGATCAGCTGATAAAACCACCTTTGGCTAGCAGAACAATATGCTTTGCACGACACCACCAGAGTTCCTTACCTGTAAAGATTGTAGCTTTGGAAACACTATGGAAGCAGCTCTGATTTGTCCTATAGTATTTCCAGGAGTCTGATTTGGCTCTCACAGTAATGGATTTTTAGATATTCCTATTGTTGTTGTTGTTGTGTGCTATCGAGTCAAGTAAGACTCACAGTGACCCTATGAAAAACAGATCTGAACCCTGTCCTATCCTGTGCCATCCTCACAATCTCTGACATACTCAAACCCATTGCTGCAGTCACTGTGTCAATACATCTGACTGAGAGCCTTCATCTCCTTTCCTGTCCCTCCATCTACCAAGCATGAAGTCCCTTTTAAAGGAATAACCTCTCCTAGCAACATGCCCAAAATATGTGAGATGAAACTTCATCATCTTTGCCTCCAAAGAGCACCGACCATATAGTCATTGCCCCTGAATTGGAACCAACTCATAGCTTATCCTCTAATTAGTTTTTAGGAGTCTGTTAAATCGCACAGAAGCAGATTGCTCATCTTTCTCCTATGGAGCTGCTGGTGGATTCAAACCACCAGAGAAACACTGCCTTGGGATGGTGGTGGTTGTTATGTGCAGTCGAGTCGCTTGCGACTCATAGCAACCCTAAGTACAACAGTCCTAAACCTTGCTCTATCCCTTGCCAATCTTATTGTCTCTGACACGCCTATTTCCATTACCATATAGTGACGGAGTCAATCAATCTCATAGAAGGTCTTTCTCTCCTGCACTGCCCCTCCACCCTTCCAAGAATGACATCCCTCTTCAAGGACTGGTCCCTCCTTGCAACATGTCCAAAGTATGTCAGATGAAGCTTCAGAATCCTTGCCTCCAAGGAGAAGCCTGGCTTCACCCTCTCCAGGACAAATTTGCTTGTTCTCTTAGCAGTCCATGGTATATTCAATACTCTTCTCCAGCACCAAAGCTCAAAAGCATCAATTCTCCTTCTAACATCCCTAGTCATTGTCCAGCCTCTGATGCATAGCAAGTAATGGCAAAGACCATGGCCTGTATCAGGCACACCTTAGTGTCCAGACTGATACCATTGCTCCTCAGTACTTTAGTACTTTGGAGAGGTCTCTAACAGCAAACTTTTCTATTGCAATTCATCTTTTAATTTCCTGGCTGCTGACACCAAGAGTGTTGATTGTAGAGCCAAGCAAACTGAAGCTGTCACCAATCTCAAATCTCTTCACCATCTTTCATAATGCTGCCAATCAACCCAGTGGTGAGAATTTTTGTTTGTTTTTTTTAAAATGTTAGACATTTAATAATAATAAACATGTCAAAATGTAGAGGTGAAGTTAAAGACAAATCAGCTGGGCACAGGGAAAATTTCTCAAATCCGTGGAGAGGTTACTAAACTATAACTGATCACTGGGGGCCAATGCAAAGAAAAGGCCTGAGAGGGTAATTGAAGGAGCATGGAAATGAACTACAAATGAGAGTACTATTGGTCACATCAATAAACCTCACTATACCACATTCATAATCCAGGAATAACCCAACATGGACTGGAGGTCTTTTTTACATACTGAGGTAAGAGTGGGGAGGAGATAAATAGATGTGTTTGGCTATTTATTCTGACACAATAAAGTAAAAAAATTCCTTCAGAGTTAACTAGCATGTCTTTCTTCTTTGTCCAGGAATCATTACATAATCCAATAATCCAATTCCAACATCCTGCCACATTTACCTCCCAGTAAGATTTTCCAGAAGTAAAGGTCTGAGATCCCCATGAAACAAAACAGTTAGATCTTTTTTGATTGTGGGTAATTATATGTTGACGATGACTGAAGAGAATAAATTTCAGATCTTCAAATGGGAAAATGGCAAGTGCCTTCTTCATAATCCAAGCACATATACACTTGATAACAGCAGAACTTTCTTATCAATCCATCAATGGGCATTGAACTGAGCAATGGAATCACAGGCTGGGGCATATGTTGCTGCAAAAAGTTGCTCTTTTTCATAAGGTCTTCAAAATGCTGGAGCAGTTCTAGGTCTGGTTGACGGCACATAGTTTCTAGTTCTTCATACATTTTTCTGAGGAACTGATCCTGTAGAATCATAGAGTTTTCACTTCGTTTTAGTAGTTGAGAATTCTCTTTACTTTCCTTTTCTAGTTTCTTCAAATATTTTTTCTCTTCTCCAAAGACCAATAAGTTTTCATATTCAATAGACAGTTTCTTCTTCTTCAAAGTTATAGATTCCTAGTGTCTTCTTCTGAGCTGTCCCTCTACCCTTTGGAGCATGGTGTTCTTCTCCAAGGAACAGTCCTTCCTGGTGACATGCCCAAAGTATATGAGATGGAGCTTCAAAATCCTCCCAAGATGTGATTTTGCTGGTTTCTCTATTAAGATGTCTTTGATTTTCAAGTTTTTTGTCCCACAGAGTCCTCATTTGTTCCAGAAATTCTTGCCTGTATTTCTCAGCAATCCAAGCAATGGGAAAGTGTTGGTGAGCCTTGCGCTCATGGCAAACAGAGTGTGTCTGTGGCCTCTTCACAGAAGAAGTCCTTTGGTTTCTTGTGTATCTCACACATTTGTTGTTCAGAGCTCAGTAAAGTGCTCCTGGCAGAGAACACTCGTGTCTTCAGATCAACATTCGCTTTAAGGCTTATTTGACATGGTTTCTTAAACTCAGGGCAGCTCTGAGAATTTGAGGCTTTCTCCCAGCACATATAGAGACAAGGTCTGCAAAAGTTGTGTCCACAGTTAGTGGTAACGGGATCGATGAAATAATTCTGGCAGATAAAGCAGATGAATTCATTCTGGGGGGGGTATTAGGATTCATGTTTCAATAAGTTACATCAAGGCTGGTCTTAAAAGAATCAACTGAGAATCTTTGGTTTCTTTACATTGAGCTTTAATCCATATTGAAGGCTGCAATCCTTGACCTTCTGCAGCAAGCACTTCAGGTCCTCCTCAGTTTCAGGAAGCAGAGTTGTATAATTTGCATAACATAGATTGTTCATGAGTCTACCTCAAATCCTAATGCCACATTTCTCCTCATAGAGCCCAGCCTCCTAGATATTCTGTTCTGCATATAGATTGAAAAGATATGGAGATAGGACACATCGTTGACTCACACTCTGTTCTGACAACTGCCTTCTGATCCAAGTTTCGCATAAGCAAAATCAAGTGTTCTGGGATTCCCATTCTTCTCAGTGTCAGCCACAGTTTGTTGTGATCCACACAGTCAAATGCCTGGCAGCAGCTTGAGGCATTACAAATCACAGAAGCCAGAAAGATTGACATCTAGGCCATCACAGTAAGGGCTAGATAGGGGAGATTGTTGTTGAATGGAGTAGGTGGGAGTAGATGTAAATGCTGGGGGAGCCCGGCAAGGGGTGGCTCAAAACACACCTGGCAAGTTTGGGGACAACACAGAATCTATTGGGTTTTTTCCTACTACTGGGAAATATCTTTAATCTGCTCTTCTCTGCAAAATGCTTGCCTGTCAGATAATGTTCTATATCTGAGCAATCTAACAAAGACAGACTAGAAAAAAGGACTGCCCTTGGCAGTAGTATTCCTATAAAATATGCCACAGAGCTCCCTACCAGTCACAGAGTCAACAATTTCTAGATGTTGTTGGAATGAGCAACAACTGCAAAAGGAATGTTAAAAGAGCGGAGAAATTCATGTCTACACTGACAGCTCGCGTACATCCTTTACATCCTCACTGATTGCATGCTGATCACAGAACACATTTTCTTGCTGCTGCTGCTGCTGCTGCTGCTGCTGCTGCTGCTGTGTTTCTCAAACTCTCAGTTCATACTTCTGTGAGAGCAGCATCTCACACTGCCCTGAAACTCGAGGGTCTCTTGCCTATCTTTTTTCTCCAGCAGATTATTGATTCCTTGAGGGCAGAGACCACAGTTTACTTTTCTAGATTCTTGTGCTGAGCATCCCAGAAGCCCTTAGTCAACACTTTCTGACTAGCTGCTTGTCTAACCTGACTGTTATCTAATCTGACTGCCAGTTCCTTTGCAATTCTATCTCAAACTCTGCCAGCTTTTACGGGTGCCCGAGTAACTGTGAGAGGGATGGGAATGCTTTGTGTGCGTTAGGACATAGAACTCTTTTTTACAAGCCCAGTAACCTTCCCAAAGTGAGAAAGTCTCCAAGGTGTAGGGCTGCCAAAATATATCAGGAAAATCACTGTGCAGCTGATGGTAGGTAAAAGGTAGACTATTTCAGAGGAAAGGTCTTATTGCCTGGCCACTGGTTTTGTGTTTGTTTTTTTTTATTTCACTAAGCATCAGTCACTATCACTTTATATAATCCAGTTTGGGAATAGTGAATCTAAAGTACACAGCCAATTTGAAGACTAGAATGGTAGCTTGTTTAAACATGCTGGGCTAGGCTGTTGAGCCAACTTATTAATATTTTCAAAGCATTACTTAAACATTTACTTGGCCATCTACCTTACGCAATACATTGGTTTCTGGAAATTAGTTATACAAAGAGACTCTTACTGAATATACCAAGAGGATATAACACTTGAAGAGCCTGATGATGAAATAGGAGATGCTTCCGTAAAGCCACTATGATCTACTTTCTCTTTTCAAAATACATGTGCTTCACATTAAATATTTGTCTCAGTGGGTTATTTTATGAGCTCTTATGTAAGAAAAGCAGAACTGTGTAAGACAAGATCTCACTCCATTTCTGCCTGTGATGTAACTTACTGAATTTTCCTAAAACTCTTTAGTCTAGAAAAGTGCAGTTCATTTGAATGTTACTGCAGATTTGTATTCCTTTTTTTAATACCATTCCCTCGTTTTTAAAATGATAATAATAATGGCAACATTCAAGATTGTTTCACTCACCACATAGCGACAATTTTCCATATCCATTCCCCACTCCCCTCTCTGCGTTTCAGCTTTTGAAAGACATCTGTTTTTTTAATTAATATTTTAATGAAAACTTATAGAGAACTTGGATTTCCTTTCATACATTGTTGTACATTTTCTTCCCTGTCCCCCCAGTTCACTTTTCACTTTGAAAAAAAAAATTCTTTCATTGTTGTACAATTCCTCCTCCCTCTCCCAGTCCACTTTACTATGCAGCTCTTATTCCGGACTGTTGTCATGCAAATAATGTTGTTAATTGCCTTCAAGCATGGCTCACAGTAACTCTATGAACAAAAGGCCTAAAGCCTTTCTATAACTATTGACATTTATCAAAGTTCATAGAGTTTCTGGAGGCATGTTGTCTATGAAGCGGATGCCACTCCTGCTTCCAACATGCAAATAATACCTAATCATATACTCCTTTTAACCAGTTCTTTCCCTCATCTGTTTCAATGTAGTGTACAATATTTATCCCCTCTTTTCTTATTTTCCCCCCAACGCCGATCTCAGCCTTGTTTTATAACAGTGGCATTGTGCAATATTTGTCCTTTTGTGACTGAGATATTTCACTCAGCATAATGTCCTCCAGGGTCACCAATTTTGCATAATATTTCATGAGTTCCTTGTTTTCCAATGCAGCATAGTATTCTGTTGTGTGAATATACCACAGCTTTTCTATCAATTCGTTTGTTGATGGACACTTGAGTTCTTTCCAACTCTTTGCTATTGTGAACAACGCAGCAATAAACATGGGTGTGCATATATCTGTTGGGTTATAGTTCTGGTTTCTTTAGGGTATATTCTCAGTAGTGGAATTTCTGGGTCAAATGGTATTTCTATTTCCAATATTTTGAGGGGGAAAAAAAGACAAGGGAGGAGACATCTCACTCGTTAATTTCAAATCCTGCTACACTGCCATGGTGGTCAAGACAGCGTGTTACTGGTACAATGACAAACACATAGGTCAATGGAATAAAATTGAGAACCCAGGAATCAGCCCATTTACCTATGGTCAAATGACTTTTTACAAGGAGATGAAATCAGTTAAGTGGAGAAATGACAGTCTTTTTAACAAATGATGTTGGCAAAATTGGAAAACTATCTGCAGAAAACTCAAGGAAGACCCACACTTCACACCATACACAAAGTGGAAAGACATCTGTTTTGCTGAAAAGGAAAAGCAATCTGTAGGGTCTGGTAGACAGACAGAAGAATTCATTCTATACACAAATCAAACTAAAGAATTATTAATAACATCATACTCTTTAAACAATGTCCAGATATGTAGCTACATGTCAAAGAGGCTGCTGAGGGAGGTACTTTGAGGATGAAATATTAAGGTTTAGAAGTCCCTCAGGGTCATATGCAGAGGGAACTCAGGTAGCTTAGTCCATAAGGAGTTGCACTGCTAAACCAAAAGTGACATCTCTTGGCAGTTCAAATCCACTGTGGCTCCTGGGGAGAAAAAAGATGAGCAATCTCCTGTGTGATTTACCTCAAAAACCCGTTGGTTCTCATCAGACAGCAGTGAGTTTGCATTTTCACGGTCATATGCAGTCTGGTCCTGCTTGCCTTTCTGTCTTACCCTGCAGCATTCATTACTTCTTTCCCTCCCCTTCAGGCTCCGGCCACACTGTACTTCTTGACTCCTGCATGCACTGAACTAGTTTGTTGCCAAGCTATTGCATGTCTTCCATCTGCCAATCACCTACTTAGGAATTTAACCTAAACCCAAAACTCTCTTCCTCAAAATCTTCCTTGACCTCCTGAGCCAGACTAAGTTACTGTTTCATAGGTATCCCCATGGCACATTTTCTTGTCCTGTCATAGCACTCGTATGTTATGATCTGTGAACCCCCAGAGGGCCTTCATTCAACCATCCATTTATTTGAGTTCTTTTCGGAGCTCCTACTATCTGCTGGTCATTGTTCTGGATGCTGGGGTACAATGATGAACAAGGCAAAACACAAATCCTGCTTATGAAACTTTCATTATTAGGGGAGAGTCAAATAATAAACAAGTAAATTAATGGAGAATTATTTGTTACTTCATTCTAAGAATCTGATAGTGTACAAAACACATAGTAGATGTGCTGTAAATTTTTTTAAGTAATTTTTTTTAGTAAGTTGTTGTTTTAAAAGTTAGTGTTATCATCATAGGTGGACTTCAAATGCTCAGCTGTAATTCCTGAGAGGCAATGTCTTATCCACTAAACCACTTGGACTGCCCACTAAGTAATTTCTTGCTGATATGAAAGAAAGTGAAGTGGGGATGCATGACAGTCTCAGGGACCAGTCTTAGCTTTAACATTGCACTGCCAACACAAAAGTACAATGTTTGACTCCATCAGCTGCTCCATGAGAGAAAAGAGGGACAGTCTCCTCCCATTTGATTTACTGCTTCTGAAAACCCACTGAAGGATCAGGTATGGATCAGTTCCGACTTGATGGCACCTAACACACACACACCAACACATATCCACTATATTCTTTTCACCATGAAGTTCTGCTCAACTTTCAGAAGGGACCAGAGCCTCTAGGAACATGAGTCACAGGAGAGGAAAGAGTAACTAGTCTTCATTTCTGTATGCCCTGGGCCTGTGTAGGTGCCCAAACGTGGGAGTGAATAAATAGGTGCAAGTTCAGGACTTGTCAAGTGATCTTATCCACTCCTGGGCCTCCTATGGCAGGAGTGGCCAAGGGTTGCCAAACTCATTATCTCTTGTGCACCCTGCGTCTATGTTTCCTACTTCCTTTGTAGTTAAGCACGATTGCGTAATATGATTTTCCAATGGAATGTAAACGGAAATGATAGAATCTCCCACGTCTGAGTCTCCATGTTCCATCCCCACCACAGTGACTTTTTAAGTCCATATATTGCAGATGGCAGAGACATAAAATGGAAGTGTGTTGGTCCCTGAATCAATATTTGGAGAAAAATCATCTATTTATTAGGAAAATTTCTTTTCACTTTAAGTGAAGGAGAAAAAAATATTGTCATAAAACACTATTGGAAATGAAAGTTTAGCTGATAGATCAGCCAGAGATAGTTGCTGCCTTCAACCTCGACCAGATGCTCCTTCTTTATCATGGCCCGTCTCAGTGGATGGCACCTCTTTCCAATCAGATATTTTTGTCTAAAACTCAACTGTCCTTTCCTTTCTTTCCCTTTCTCTCACTCACCACACATCTCCTGCATATCTCATGAACTCATACATTCCTCTTCCCCCCTCCGCTGCCATCATATCAGGTCTCACAAAGATACTGCTTTTCTGTGTTATCAATTTATTACAACTAAGAGTGACCCTATGGGGAGCTCTGGTGGCCTAATGGCAAGAAACTGCACTGCAATCCTGAAGGCACACAGTTCAAGTCCACCAGCTGCTCCACAGGAGGAGGATGGGCAGTCTCCTCTCATGTGATTAACTGCCTCCGAAAACCCTCTGGAAGGTCAGCTATGGGTCTGTTCCAACTCGGCAGTACACACAACAACAAAAGTGACCCTATAGGAAAGAGTAGAACTGTCCCAGAGGGCTCATTCCCTAGGCTGTCATTTTATAGGAGCAGATCATTCGGTCTTTTCTCCAATAGAGTGGTTGGTGGGCTCAAACCACTGACCTTTTGGTTAGCAGCTGAGCCCTTAACCATTGTGCCATGAAGGTTCCTTGTAGATACTGTACTGTCTGCCAACTAGCCTGTCTCCTGCAGCCCGTTTACTTCATTCTCCACATAACAAGTGTGAGTCACCTACCCAAAAATGCATCTGATCATATACCCTCATTCACTTAAAATTCTAGGTTGTTTCTTCACAGCCCTGAGAATCTAGTCCAAATTCCTAGACACAGTCTCCAGGGCCTTGCGTGATCTGTGTCTGCTTCCCTCTGTAGCCTCCTCTGCTGACTCCATCTAATGCCTACACTCCTACAGCAAATTCATTCTGGGTCCTTATTTACATTCTCTCTTTGCTCTCTGAATTCCCCTCTACTCATTCTTCAGGACTCAGCTTGAATTCACCTCTTCAAGGAAATACCTCCTTGAACCCTGGGTCAGGTTTGGCAAATTGGCCCCACTGGCTGATTATCAGAACTTTCTTGATACTCAATTATAATTTGTTTGTCCATCTTCCCTGTAAAAGCACAGGGTCCTAGATGGAAGAACCTGCTTCACCCACTTGGTTCTGGCCTCTGGAATATAGCAGGCATCGGTATAAGTCCAATAATTGAATGGCCAGTAAACTAGATCATTAATTGCCAGCTTGTAGTTATAATAATGCACTTCTCAGTAGTCTTCTCAGGAAGATCATAGTATTCTGATGGTATCAAACAGTGAATTCTTTGCGTTTCCCTGTGATCTGAGTCAGGGTGATTCACCTCCACTTATTTATGAGGAAATAGAGCCCCAAGGCAGGTGAAATACGCCAGGGTGGCAGTCGCAGGCCTCCAGTTATGACCACACCACCTCCACCCTCCCCCTTCTTTTCTTGTTTCTGCGCGCGCTATGCGGAAATGTCATGACACATTGGGGGATTTCTTTCTTCCCCTGCATTTTTCTGATGTGACTCCAGCCTGGGGGGTTGGGAGAGCCCTGGCCAAGGGAGGAGGGAGGCGGGTGGTGGGGAGGTTAGCTGCTGCATTCCTCAGCGGCCTCCGTTTGCATAGTTCAGAGAAACAAGAAAGAAGTTAGCGAGCTTTGGCAGACGCCTTGGGCATTCAGCTCCTGTTCCGGCAGTCACCGAGACCAGGCGCAAACACAAATTGTGCTAAGGCCAGGAGGCAGGCACTCTGTCCCCTCCCAGCCTGCCAAGATGAGGTGAGGAGGTCGAGGACTCTGCCTGAGACAGGGGCTCACAGAAAGAGGCCCCTTCTTTCTGTCTAGCTTGCCAGCCAGTTGGCCACGAGCCACTAAGACTGAGTGTAGTGGGGGAAGGAGTAGGCCAGACAGTGTCAGTGCCTCAGCCCAGATTCTTTCAGGTTGGAGGGCTAGTGTGAGCACCAGACAGCCTGG